TGCCTGTAGGGTTGAGGAGCCCTAGGCAAGATAAAAAAGAATTGGGCCCACTTGTGTAAGAACAGTGAGAAGAAAGCACAAAAAATGACATTTTTATATTTATTTCATATTAATATATAGGGATGTAACCAGAATTTAACCAGTAATCAGAATTTCACGGTACGGTAATACCTCGGTATGAATGGCACGGTACGGTTTTTATTGAATAATTTACAGGAAAAACAAAACTTATGAAAAGACTCGAAAAAAGTGCCAAACGTGTTTATTTACCTTAGCACTGAACATATCAATGACGTACAAATTAGCCATCTATCTGTAAGCTTTGAAAGAGGAACTTCAATTTTTCAATTTTAATAACAAAAAACTTATAAACCATGTAAAAAAATAAAGGTTCAATTTAGTATTGTTGAAAACTCCTCACATTCAACATTTAATCACTCACTCACTTAGATAGAGATGGGTTTTAAGGAAAATTATCATATAACTATAATCTGCTAAAAGCTGGGATCTCTGGGTATTAACAATGTCCCCTGCAACAGAAAAACCCCTCTCATTTGGGACTGAGGTTTCTGGGACAGAGAGATATGATTTAGCCAAGGTTGACAGCAGTGGGTAACGTTGTGCATCGTCTTTCCACCCCTTGAGAGGACAAGTCATGAGTGAGATAGAGGTCTCTTTGCAGTACAAGCCAATGTCTGCATCAATCTAACAAGTGTGCTGTGTTCTGCAGTCCCCATGACTGTTTTAGTCGTATTCCCCGACTTATATTTTACCACAGTCTGGCAGTGCCTGCATACCGTTTTATTCTTTGTCTGTCACCTTTTCTCCTTTCTCGTATCTTTTTAGAGAGAAACCGAAATACTTCCACACATCCGATTTGAAACACGCTTTAGGTTCGATCATTTCCAGCTCTTTTTCTTCCCCGCTACTAGCAGCACACTCCATTTCCACATTACTGGATCTGTAGTGACAACAGACCGCAAAGGATGATGGCCACGCCTGGGCTGATGGGAATTGTAGTTCCCGCTACCTCCCGTTCGTTTAATTCGCCTGAGCAAACTTTTCTCAGAAATATAGTTTTATTGAGTCATGCGACTACGGTAATATTGAAAAAATTTACTATTGGGGTATGACGGTATTTACAATATTCTTACATCCCTATTAATATATAAGTTTTAAGATTTATTGCATTATTATTGTTATTACATATTTAATATTGTAAATTTAATATTTAAGTGTAAAGATTTATTTTATATTAAACCTATAATACATATTTAAAAATATTTACTCAGATTTAAACAAATAAGTTTGCAAGCCAGAAAACACTCATTTAAAGCACTTATTTAAAGGGCACATAATTTACCCCTTTTTATGATTTAATATTAATATTATGGTTGTTCTGAGTGTGCCAGTTTAGGTTCAGTTCAACACACAGTTCAGATGTTTTTATTGTAATGTGTTAAAAAGTGTCATGTTGTGGGCGTGTACACAGCTCGCTGTTTTAGGGGTGTGTTGCTTCACATTGAAATTAGTTTCGGCTTCCCGCCCAACGTAACAAGGGGGGCGGAGCCAAGAGCTCCCACGCTCTGTGTTTACAACAGACAGGCAGACAGAGAGAAGCTAAGCTACATGTGAGGATCAGCATTCAGCCGTACATGTACGACTCGGACACAGACCAAGCACAGAGTACAAAATCATTTGTGTCGCTGTATAGTTTTACAGCTGACTGTGTGCTAGTTTCAAGTGCCGAGCTTGTTCACCGAGACTAATAACCACGCACACTGAATTAACTTTGACTGAGGCACCGGATGCTCCGCTCGAAGCCGCGACACGGCACACTAGACACTCTCAGTAGTGTGGCAGAAGAGGAGCACCCGCGGGGCCCTAGGCGATCGCCTATGCTGCCTGTAGGATGGCCTGGCACTGTGTGCCTGCTGGACAATAACTAGATGCACTACAGAATGTTACGTTTACACACACATGCACAAATGAGATGTAAATGCATGACCTTTTCACAGCGTAATACTCACTACTCTCGAGTACTTTTGAAAGGTCTACTTGCAATACATTTTTAGGCAAGTAATGGTACTTTCACTTGGATATGATTTTTCAGTACTCTTTTCACTACTGCCTTTTCCTTATGTTTCCTTAGCACCCCTGAATGTTTTTGTTCCCATTTTCTGTTTAACAGAGTTTTTTTTTAACACATTTCTAATAATATTAGTTTGAATAACTCATTTCTAATGACTGATTTATTTCATTTTTGCCATGATCACAGCACATAATATTTGACCAGATATTCTTTAAGACACTAGTATTCAATTTAAAGTGACAATTAAAAGTTTAATTCAGTTCAGCTTTATTTGTATAGCGCTTTTTCAATGTAGATTGTGTCAAAGCAGTTTCACATATTTAATTCAATTCAATTCAGCTTTATTTGTATAGCGCTTTTACAATGTAGATTGTGTCAAAGCAGCTTCAAATAAATGGTCAAAGTAACTGGATCAGGGTAGTTCAGTTTTTAGTGTTTAAGTTCAGTTCAGTTTAGCTCAGTTCAGTGTGGTTTGAAGTCATTATTGAAAGTTCAAACACTGAAGAGCAAATTCATCGATGAGTAGCTTTTCAGATCCTGAACCATGCAAGCCAGAGGCGACAGCGGAGAGGGGAAAAAAAACTTCACCGATAGGAGAGTGAAGAAAAAAAACCTTGAGAGAAACAGACTCAGTTCGACACGACCATTTTAATTTCTCCGCTGGCCAAAAGTCTTGTGCAGAGCTGCAGTCTCAGCGGCGGAGGCTGGAAGCTGGCCTCAGCGAAGACTCGTCTGTCCCTGGAGCATCACTGGAATCAGGCTCATACTCTCCACTCCCCCATGACCAACAGTGCAGCAGCAGCTCAGGATACGGCCTGGTCCTGGATATGGACACCTTGGGATCATCTCGTCACTGGTCTTGGATCCAATCAGTGACTCCGCATAATCTGAGGACCTAAGGAGGAGTATCCCCTGGTGGAAATAGAGAATAAAGAGAATAATTAGCGTAGCTGCTGTTCATAGTGTATATAAACAAGATGTAGAAACTTGTGTGGAAACCCGTTAAGTGATGCATTGAGTGTATGCTTTACTAAACAGATAGGTCTTTAATCTAGTGTTGAACTGCCAGAGTGTGTCTGAGCCTCGGACATTATCAGGAAGGCTATTCCAGAGTTTAGGAGCCACAAAGGAGAAGGCTCGACCTCCTTTACTCGACATTGCTATTCTAGGTACTACCAGAAGCCCTGAGTTTTAAGATCTTAAAGAGCGAGCTGGATTGTAGCGAGACATATAAGATCATAGTAAATTGAAACAGTGTAGTTCAGTTTTAAAGGGCCATGAACCCCCCTCGTTTCAGCAGGGTGTTTTCACACCTCTACTTTGGAAAAAGTCAGAAAAGTGGGCGTGTCCAGCTCTGTTTAGGGGGGAGTGTCGGAGGAACTAAAGTGGGAGGGTGTGGGAGTGTCTATTTGGGCACGCGCGAGCTTCAGAGTCAAAATACACACACATGAGAAAGTGATGGTGTTTAACCTACATGGACATCTGTAGTCGAATTATTTGCCAAATTATTAAATGTTGGACTTTAACTGCAATTTGGCTCTTTCATTCAGGGAATTCATTCATGCCCCTCGCGACAAACGCGATATTTGATTCGAGGATCTGCTCTAAGCGTCTATTTTTCATGCAATGTTTGATACCGCATGTCGAATAAGAGAAAAAAACCTCCGCATTTCCTGGAAACTTAGATGCACACGGCAGGTAGCATCAGAAAGTGTGTTATTCCGGTCACAAAATGCGGTGCTATGTTTGCACTCAGTGCAATAGTTAACTTAATTCGATACGAACAAACTGAATAAACAAAGAGCACTGGTCGCTCACTTACCAAATCTGTAGAGACAGGACAATCACCAGCAACTACAGCCGCGTCTTTATGAAGAGAAGACTAACGTTACAAGCGAATCGCGGTGACACTAATGAATATTAATGAAGTTGCACAATAGAGCGCGCTGATTGGTTTGAACCAAGCCTTACTCATGCATTAATAAGACTGTACGTAATAAGACTCACTCTGGCACAGACGTCCAGTCTGCACGCTGGAATACAGGCTATTATGTCATGACCGTGACGCAGCTTCAAATATTCGTTTTAAACAGGAAGTACGAATTTGCTTGAAATATCGCAAAAACAACCATTTTACACTTTTTAGTGAAATATAGGTGTCCTAATAGTGTTTTTAGCAGTGTGGGACACATATACCACTGTCAACAGCTCAAAACATGTGTTTTGGTGTTTCGTGACCCTTTTAAGTGTTTAAGTTCAGTTCAGTTTAGCTCAGTTCAGTGTGGTTAATAATCACAACTGAGAGTCCAAACACTGAAGAGCAAATCCATCGATGCGCAGCTCTACAGATTCCGAACCATGCAAGCCAGTGGCGACAGCGGCAAGGAAAAAACTTCACCAATTGGCGAAAGTGAAGAATTGCAAAACCTCAAGAGAAACCAGGCTCAGTTGGGCACGACCATTTCTCCTCTGGCCAAACGTCTTGTGCAGAGCTGCATTCAAGGCAACGGAGAATGCTGGACCTCAGCGAAGACTCGTCTCTCACTGGAGCGTCACAGGAATCAGTCACATGCTCTCCACTCCTCCATGACCACCACAGCAGCTGCTCAGGATACGGCCTGGTCCAAGATTATCGAACCTTGGGATCATCTCGTCGCTGGTCTTGGATGGAATCATTGGCGCTGTGTAGTCTGAGGGCCTCGGGATGAGTACCCCCAGGTGGAAATAGAGAATAAAGAAAGTAATTAGTGTAGCTGCTGTTCATAGTGTATATATTTAACTAGGTTAATTAGGGTAAAGTTAGGGTAATTAGGCACGTCATTGTATAACAGTGGTTTGTTCTGTAGACCAGAGGTTTGTGTGTCCTGTAAGGCAGTGTTATTAATGCTGTTGTGTGTCTCCTTTTCAGCGTTTGTGTGTGTGCGGCGCTGTGTTTTCTGCCGGCGGTGAATGCAGACGCTGTAGACGCTTCTCTGCTGGGCGGCTGGCAGGACGTCTGGCTCTTCCGCTTGTTCCTCAATGTTTTGGGCTACGCCACCATCATCATCCCCGGATACTTTCTCATCAGCTACTTCAAACGCGTCAACTATCTAGAAACAGGTTTGTTCAAGTTCAACCAACAGAGAAACTCACACTCTTTCTGTATGCACATTTTTAGTCACTGACTGCATGCTTGTCCATGCTATATTCTTTATTCCTTGTTATATTCTTTCATTTCTTTTCATTTCCACTTATGTATTGTAACATTTGTAAACACTTTTTCCCCCTATTTATGTTTACAATAGTATTTTGGTCACAATATTTATCAATGCAGGGCTCGAAATTAACTTTTTTACTTGGTAGCACCGGTGCTCCCAACTTCAAATATTTAGGAGCACCAAAAAATTTTTAGGAGCACCAGAAAAAATTTAGGAGCACCCACCAAAAATGAATGAGCACCGCTGCAAATTGTTTTTTAAGGGATTTATTGTATTTTAAACCAACATCAATAGGACTAACAAAAACTAGAAACAACTTTCTAACTAATGCTGCGAAGACATTGATATTTGTGTGCAATAATTCCAAAATGAATGTCTAATAATTAGGCCATAGAATCTTAATGATGATAAAAAATGACAATAATAGTAACAATGAATTCCATTTCTCATTATGATACTGCCTTGTAAAATAAAGCATTGCAGTAAGAAATATTTATTTTGTACTGCTGTTTTTATATGCATGTCAATTTAATAAATAATATTTCTGCTACAAAACAAACAAAAGTTTATATTAAATCATTCAATTCAATGATGAAAGCTGCAAAGTCATCAGTAAAAAAATAAAAAAATAATATACACCTCAAAAAAGATCAGACGAAAGAAAGAAAAGTCTCACTTCTATCACTCTTTAAAAGTTTTGGTTTCAGTTTGTCAATTTAAAGGTTCAGTCTGAGCTGATCTTCATTTTTCTGTGTTAGTAGAAAAGCTGGCGAGTCAGCCGACCCAATTTATGAGCAGGCAGAGCAGGATTCTTGCGCTAACCATCGGCGCAATACCGGTCTTTGTTATGAGCCGCAGTTTCAGTGTAAACTTAGTAAAGGCGAGCTTCTTTGGCGATGATATGTACAGTATTAGATTTGACTTTTAGCGGACATTTGCGTTGAACACGCAGTGAATGCAACGCATGGAGATTCGGGCGCCTTCTCCAAGAAGCGCGTACTCGATTGATCTCAGCTGGTGGATCATTATTCACCACGTGACGTGTCATGATCGCTCTCATCTGCGCCTCAACTTTAGGTGGGGTTTGCAAACCTGTGTGCTTTAAGTTTTTACTCTTCAGCCGTTTGCATTTCCCGTGTCATAAAAGCTCCTTCCCTGTCATCTGACAGCGGAATACCTTGAGTGAATGACAGCTAATATGAACCAATATAGCGGCAGGGAAGAGCGATTCAGCACGTTTTTACAAAAAATCAAAACAGGTCGCACTACAACTAGTATCTGCAGTCGCACTAATGCGCCCAAATATATTATGCGGTCGCATAGATTAATTTTCGGGCACATATGCGACCAAAATGGTCGCAATTTCGAGCCCTGCAATGCATTATTAAAATCCAAATTCATGCATGTTAACATTAGTTAATGCACCGTGAGTTAACATTAAGTAAAAAAGAACGACCTTCTTTCCATTAATGTTAACAAAGATGAATAAATACTGTAATGAATGTATTGTATTTATTTAATGTAATGTATTTAAACACCTATTTTTTTCATATTTATTTGTACAATAATTTGTTTTCTACTTATGTTCACTATAATAATTATTTTCCCCAGTTGTTACCCATGTATACTTTACATACTCTCACAGGCCACTTTATTAGGTACACCTTACTGCAGTAGTACCTGTTTGCCTTTAGAACTGCCTTAATCCTTCGTGGCATAAATTCAACAAGGTGCTTGAAATATTCCTCAGTGCGTTTGCTCCATATTGACATGATAGCATCACGCAGTTGCTGCAGATATGTCGGCTGCACATCCATGATGCGAGTCTCCTGTTCCACCACATCCCAAAAGTGCTTTATTGAATTAGGATCTGATGACTGTAGTGGCCATTTGAGTACAGTGAACTCGTTGTCATGTTCAAGAAACCAGTATGAGATGGTTCATGCTGTATGACATGGCGCGTTTTCCTGCTGGAAGTACCCATCAGAAGATGAGTACACTGTGCTCATAAAGGGATGGACATGGTCAGCAACAATACTCAGGTAGGCTGTGGTGTCGACACCATGCTCAATTGGTGCTAATGGACCCTTAAGTGTGCCAAGAAAATCTCCCCCACACCATTACACCACCACCACCAGCCTGAACCATTGAAACAAGGCAGGATGGATCCATGCTTTAATGTTGTTGATGGTAAATTCTGACCCGACCATCCGAATGTGTCAGCAGAAATGGAGACTCATCAGAGCAGGCAACGTTTCTCCAATCTTCTATTGTCCAGTTTTTGTGAGTCTGAGTGAATTGTAGCCTCAGTTTCCTGTTCTTAGCTGACAGGAGCGGCACCCGGTGTGGTCTTCTGCTGCTGTAGCTCATCCGCCTCAAGGTTGGACGTGTTGTGTGTTCAGAGATGCTCTTCTGCAGACCTCGGTTGTAGCGAGTGCTTATTCGAGTTGCTGTTGTTTTTCTATCAGCTGGAACCAGTCTGGCCATTCTCCTCTGTCCTCTGGGATCAACAATGCATTTGTGCCCACAGAACTGCCGCTCACTGGATATTTCCTCTTTTCAGACCATTCCCTGTAAAACCTAGAGATGGTTGTGCTTGAAAATCCCAGTAGATCAGCAGTTTCTGAAATACTCTGGAACCAACAACCATGGCCACTTTTAAAGACACTTAAGTCACTTTTCTTCCTCATTCTGATGCTCAGTTTGAACTGCGGCAGATCGTCTTGACCATGTCTATATGCCTAAATGTGTTGCTGCCATGTGATTGGCTGATTAGAAATTTGCGTTAACGAGCAGTTGGACAGGTGTACCTAATAAAGTGGCCAGTGAGTTTGTGTATTACAATTGTGTATTTATGTCTATCTATCTATCTATCTATCTATCTATCTATCTATCTATCTATCTATCTATCTATCTATCTATCTATCTATCTATCTATCTATCTATCTATCTATCTATCTATCTATCTATCTATCTATCTATCTATCTATCTATCTATCTATCTATCTATCTATCTATATACATACATACATATCTATAGATTTGTAAATACATATAGATGGATCAATAAAATTTTATATTTTAAAATAAATTATATTCAACTTAATTTCCTTTAGTTTTTTTTCTAATTATTTTTTATTTTTAATTCTATGTATACATTTTGTCTTTATATTAAACGTAATATGTTCATTTCCCAATCCTTTTTCTTATGTTTCTTTCATCGAAGCCATCAGTATTTCGCATTTTCTTGCCCATTGTTCTATCCAGCAGTACATTTGCAATCTGAGCTTCTGAGTTTCCTACACCGTATTTGACATAGTAATTACTGTCGCAACCACATCCGTGTTGAAAAATGCAGTGTTTACAGTAGGCACTTGACAAACCTGCTTTTGAACACGCTGCTGATGTTTGTGCAGGTCGTGGGCTTTGTTTCCCTCTCATAAAGACGTGTGTGTTTGGGAACGAGTCTAAGACTGGACTGCTGGATGACGCTTCACCAGCGGGCAGAAATGAGTCTGAGTCCAGTTCATCGGCTCGACAGGCCTTTAAACTGATCTTCTGTGCCGCTGGACTCCAGGTATAAGACACTCACACAAACAATACATTAACACAACACAATCTTCATGTGTTCACCGTGAACAGCATCAATATTTAGTCTCTTTTTCTGGCTGTCTTTCCATGGAAGTACTTTAATATG